TTATTTCTTTTATTTCTCTACTTTCCGAAACTTCTCTATAAAGAATATTTCGTTATAGTTTCGCTAGTGACGTAGACACTCCGCGTAGCTAGATAATTACTTCCGATCATAATAATAAATTACCCCGTGGCTTATATACTCGCTATAAGCAATCATCGTAATATTGTTAGGATTAGAGGAAATGGAATCGATAAGCTCGTTACGACGATCGCTTCGGGACTTTTGAGGTTTGAAAGAACGACGAACCTTAGCAACACGAAAGAACTGTATAGTCAGCTATGATGAAGGAAGAAGAGAGAAGGGGAAGTTAAACCTAGAACACGATCTATCTTAAGTACGTTGAGAACAACGAATAAGTCTAAGAGAGAAATAGTATTAGATATAGCCTTAAAGGCCCGCGAGTAGGACGTGGAATGAACTAGGAAGGAAGCTTAACCGAATAAGGTAGCCTCGGGAAGCAAGGCTAAAAGAAGTCACGTGATGTTTAGAATAGAAAAGAAGTGGTCTATTAATATGTTGGACTGGAATATACCAACATACTAATATACCGACCCACATTGCCCTATACGGAAAGCCTATATAAGTATATAGCTACGCTCATTTCCCCTAGATAGCTTATACTCTCTTCGTAGCTAACTTATGTTAACTATTGGACTTATAGTTCTTAGTGACAAGTGACTTCTCATACCTTGCGTTCTTCCCAACCAGTTCATACTATTAGGATTGTTACTAGGAACCCTAACCTAGTTAGGCCCCGGTAGGAACCTTAATAATAGGTCTCTATGCGTTGTTGCACGTATACGCCGAACTCTAAAGTGCTCTATTACACTATAATATAATTAATTAATTAATTAGGTTAGTCTTTAACACTAGTAGCCTCGAGGTTAAAGACCCGGAGTATATCCGAATTTATCGTACGATAAACTACTTTATGATGGGCTGCTTTATAACGGGCTGCTTCATAGTAATTTACTTTATGATAATTTACTTTATAACGGGCTGCTTCACAATATTTTACTTCATAATATTTTACTTTATAATATTTTACTTTATAGTATTTTGCTTCATAATAATTTGCTTTATGACGGGCTACTTTATAGCATTTTACTTTATAATAATTTACTCTATAATAGGCTGCTTCACAATATTTTACTTTATAATAATTTACTCTAGGACACTTTACTTCACGGCACTTTACTTCACGGCACTTTACTTCACGGCACTTTACTTCACGGCACTTTACTTCACGGCACTTTGTTTCACGGCACTTTACTCCACGACATTTTGCTTCACAGCAACTAGCTTCACAACGCTGTACTTTACGAATGATTTTCTTTTTTATCTTCTTTACTAATAGATAGTAGTAGAACTATCTATAGGTATTACCTAATTAGGATCTAACTCTTAGCTGATCGTACTACTATTGACGAGCTACAGAGAATATACTTAAGGCCCATGTATGAAGTTTTGCCTACGTACATTCGTTATCGCTCCTCACACCAATTCTATCATTCGAGGAGAATATGCCTTACGGTTTGGCGTCCATGGCCGCATTGGCATTGGTCGGCGTCGGCCTTATTGATGGCGTGCGGGTGCGTGCGCAGGCCGATTATTGCGCGATGTGCAGAAGCGAAAAGTAGTATATTTCTGGTAAGTGCCTTAGCACGCTGTTGCACTCGGAATGAATTGATTAATCTATCTTCCTATCTATTCGCTGCCACTTCCTCGCTCTATATAGATTTAGCTATGGCGAAGAAGCTAGAGCGGTACTAGACGAATAGATCCTGATTTGATATCTAGATGCGAATGTTACTGTCGATCCTTAGTGTTGTTTAGCTCTTAATCACCTCTTACTAGTATCTTATCACCTAGCCATTCTATATCTCTTAATATCTTGCTGGTAGACGCTGTCATTCATCCAGCCACTCCTTAGTATATACTGTGATGACGCAACATCGATCTTATCTATACGCATCTATATGATGACCGAGCTAATTGCTCGGTGGGTGCCTAAATGCGTGGTTAGGGTCTCTTTCCTAGGCCGGACTCCAAGTCGAAAACGCGCCCTATCATGTTTCGCCGATTCCCAGTTCTGGTCCCATTCACCCTTCACGGCTTGACGGATGGTGAAGTTCGCGTGCGGGGATTTAACGGAGCTGGTCGAACGCTTATATAGCCTCTACGAGGATATAGCGGCCTGAAGGATACTTCGGATTGGCTATCGCTTGAATGGCGGCTGGGTCATCAGTAAAGACAGTGCACTTGCTGGGAGTGTTTGATGTTTGTGTGTACGTCGAGCATTATCAGGACAGCTAGCTCGATCCCTCTGAGCTAGTGGTTGCCAGTTATAGTATTATAATTAGCAGCACTTCGAATGGGACACATTGCCATCCCCCCGGGGCCTTCCATAATCCTAAATCCCCAAAAGCGTGACCCCCAGTGATCTTGTGCTAAGGTAATTAGGGCCTAATTCTCGGCCCGCAACGAGACCAAGTCGTCTTACCGGGACCATTTTTGGGCCTTAAGTCTTCAGCGCAATGCTTCACCAGATATTTTCATTGTGGAGAAGTTACATACTGTACAGTATACACACACACACACACACACAATTTATTACACCCGGCGGCTAGGCCGAAAGGGCAACTAAAGCTATTCTACTAATACATTTCTCCAGATACGTCATACTCTCCTTGAAGCCCGTACAGATACAGGGGATTCGATATCGGAATCTCGACAGGAGGACATTCCATTTCCATCCTTGGACCTGAGCACGCCCTGAGCCTCGCTGCTTCAACCTGAGATGCTCCTGCACGTGACTGATAATGTCCGAGATAATGAATGTATTGCGGGCTCTGGTGTCTGTCCCTTGACGGGACATCCACCGGTCTTATATAGCTATGTAAACGAGTGTGAAAGGGGTTCAGGGGGTCCCTGAACAAGTAGAATGACTGAACAGTGAAAAGGGGTTGAAACACAAGAGTGCCGAGTTTGTATAGGCGTGCTAGTGTTGAAACCATGGTCTGTCTCGGCGAGGCACTTGCAGAAGGTGTAATTGCATGTCATAGGTCAACAACTGAGCATGGTGGTAGTCGGCCTAAGCAAGGAATCGAACGCGCCCACAATCTGGGCCAGGGGCCCCGTTCCCGGCACCCGCCTATAGTTGCCAATTTATCGCCTCGGCCTAGCCTAGGGTGCCCATAACTTGGCACCTAATTCAAGTTGACGTAATGTGTCACGAATGACTGGCGGGAGCTTCTCAAGGACTGTTTGAATGGTTGCTATCTATCTATATAGCGGTATCGACATCGACTCGAAGCGTAAGGAGCTTAAGGAGCTCCGTACGCGACTCGCGTACGATATACTAGCTAGTCACGTGCCGCTTGGCACACCTTGTCACGGCCGTTCGTGACTTACGCCCTGGCCTAGTCTGGCCTGTTGGTCGCCTACACCGTGGAGATCATGCCATTCAAGATCCGAGCCAAGGGCCTGATGATCATGAACTTCTGGGTCTAGGTCGCGCTGGTCATAAATTAAGTGAGTATGCCTTAAAAACCTATACCGGTATGACCAGAGTCTTGGCCGTCAGGTCGCCCTAATAGATATTTCAAAGACTGACAACCGCAGTACGTCAATCCCCTAGGCTTTAAGCACTTACAGCCTAACTGGAAATTATACACCATTTACACTGTAAGTTTTCTTCCAGGAGGAGGAGGAGGAGGCAGCGGAGGCGGAGAGAAAGAAATCCCCTCGCCCACCACCCCCCGTTTCCGCCCCAAACCACACATCTCCAGCCAAGAATCGCTGCTAACAACTTTGTGTGTGATGAAAACAGTGCTGGATCGCTTTCGAACTAGTCTTTGTCTACTTCCTGTACGTCGAGACCAAGGGGCCCACGATCGAGGAAATCGCCAAGATCTTCGACGGCGAGGACGCCGAGGTCGGTGTCGGCGAGTTCAGCGACCAAGACTGGCATGGTTGACGAGAAAGAGGAGACTACGGTACTGTTCAGCACCGCAATGTTGTCTAAGCTTGGGCCTTTTATTGTTGCTCAGGGCAGGGCATTGAGTGCGGATATGACGATAATGAGAGACTATCAGCGGTTTTATGACTGGCAAGGAGACATGCACGTGTACCAAGCTCGTGATGTCCGGAATGAGGACGGTTTGATATGTAGCCGTTTGTCTAGCGCAGTAACTGGAAAATACCTCGATTACTTGCGAACGAAAAACCTACTCCCCAAAGAGGGGTTCTATTCTAGAGGGTGAACCTGGTTAACAGGTGTCCCCAAGCGACAGCCTGAAAGCCTTGTACACCAAAAGTCTTGCACGTCTAATTTTAGTTTCCGTCGTATTGTCTCGCCAGTCGGGCGCTAAGTGTGTTGTGGGAGCTGCCCTTACAAAAGACGAGGCAACCAATAGTGGTATTGCGCGTGTGGCAATAAATACATCAGGTTTGATTCAAGGCACCAAGTTCCAATCCCATTCCTTGTCCTACCGTCCCCAGGTCAGGCTCAGACTCTAGAAAATTCCGGTGGGGTTGCGCCGTTCCCACGCCAGTTACGTTACTTTTTTACAGCAGTCTACACGGATAGCTCGAAGAGGACCGCATCTTCGTAACGACGATATATTTCACGAAACATCGACCAGAAACGAATCAATCTCATTAAGGCCTGGAATTCCGGGCTCCAGATTATACCGAATCCGTGCCAGACCTCTCGTGCTCCTTCCTACACGCCCCGTCCGTCACCTGATACATCAGTCGCACGACGATAGCGAAGGCTGCAATCCAGATGTCGTCCTTGGGTTAAGCTAGCTAAACCGTCTTCATTGTTTGCATTGGTGAAATCTCTTTCAGGTCGGAGAACGAGTTGCGTTCGTTGCGATGTAGGCTGGCGTTGGCGGTAGCGTCCGACGGTGGTAGGACCGAGGACAAGTTGAGCTCGTCACAACTGTTCCGTGTCCTGAAGAGAAAAATTGTTGGTTGATTTGACATCAACACTATCATCCGTAGTCGTCCATCCAGCCCTGTCGAAAACCTGGTGGTGGCGGCGGTGGTGCTTCTGGAGGTGAGAGGGCTTGGGTGAGAAGCAGTTCTTGCAGGCTGGACATTGGTTCCATGGGAACCAGGTGCTCGTCAGTGGGATTTGCATAGAACGTTCCGCCACACATCTCAATAGCTCGGCACCGGTCTTGCATTGTCCTCGCCAGCCTGATCCTCCCCGTGAAACGAGGCCGGAAAGGGCTTCTCAGTTCGCGCCACGTCAGCTTCAGCACCCACACACCACCTTTGTGCTCTTCGTCCTCCGGCCAACCTAGCCAGCTATGAATTTCGGCATCGCGAAGCTCCTCACGTCTTGAGCCGTATTGGTACTCGTAGAATGTCCCACCGAGCCTCCGAAGCCTGAGGGCAAATGCATCTTCTTCGGCGGTGTCGTTGGATTTGTTGCTCTCGTTGAAGTGATCCTCAATTCCGAGGATGTCAAGCTCAAGTGCACTAGGGTTTGGCAATTCAAGTCTGCCACCAGTGCTAGGCCAGGCATAGACTTTGGCGGCATCATTCAGGTAGAGTCGTCGGTCCTTGTATGAGGGCCAGTCCGATATCGACCAGCCCGGTGGATGAATTATGCGCATAGCCACAGTGAACAAGCAGTTTGTGAGAGAGAATATAATGATGGAGGAAGACGAGATGAAGCGCATTGTACAGTGGAGCTTGACGAGGATCAATATGGCGCTGCCGAAGGGGAAGGAGAATCTGGAGTTCAATTTTGGGGCGGGGTTTGAAGTGGACGCAAGCGCCTTAAGTACGGCTCAGCGGTCGGCGCCTCATCACAATGTGACTGACGTGAATCGCCTACTTAGAGCGTAAGGAAGCCTGGACTGTGATTCGCCGCGACCTTCCGTTGCTGCCTAATGGCTCGGAATGGTGCCTCTAGTTTGTGCTTGCGTGGGGGCTTTCCTTGACCATTTCTCCGGTCGCCCTGACCATTCCCGGGCGGTTATCTGAGACTAGTGAGACTAAGGCTAGTTACTCGCTACCCGGACTGACGAGACAAGAGTAGGGCGTCGTGGCTAATTTGATGCGAAGCTAAGTGAGTCGATATCAAGATCGGCCCCCGCCTAACAATGAATAATCATATAAGCGCGGCGCAGGAAATCTAAGCGCACCCTTTTGGGAGGCCTCTACCATATACCATTTGAGACAAACGACTGCTTTCACTACAAGTCGAGGCAGGCCTCGAGGCATCTCTCGGCCCATTATCTTCGGTTCGGTTATTGCCTACAGGATTATCAATGTCACTACTCCCTCTTTTCGCGCAGCTCCGCCTCAGTTGTCCCAGTTTGACCTGAGTGGGAAACATGGTCGGTTCATCAAATGTACAGCCCGTCCTGCGGCGACTTTCTCGGTCAGCCTTTCAACTTTCGCTACTTCCTCAGACTTATTTTCATTATCAGAGCCACAGCGTTAACTTGAAACCTCTTCGAACTACAATTAGAATGGTGTCGGCCATTCTAGAGGTCTCATCTTATGTTGACCGTCTTCGAGATCATCAGCGCTTCACTTGGCCTCGAAAAGCAGGATCAGCAAGCACCTTTTTCTCATTTTCGACGCTGAGAGTCTCTGCTTTAAATATATAATTGTACCTTCTAATGATCAATTTCACTTCTTTACCATTTACTTTTGATCAGTTTGCATTCTTGTCCAGATATCTCAACTACAAGTCACTTAATCGGCCATGTTTTCCAAATTTCTCCCTTCTAGCATCGCAATCTGTGGCTTGCTCATCCAATTTCTCACTCGATCTGCTGTCATCGCTGCCCAAACACTAAACGAGCCCGGGGTAGACATAACGGACGATCAGCTAAATGCTACATATACCCATCTCACCGGATTCGAGGGCTGTGCGTCATGGCAGATCCGAGCGATCGTACAGGCTTTCTGGGATGCTGCAGCAGTTCTGAATCGGAACGAGATTAAAGGAGCTATTGATTGGAATTCGGCAGCTGCGACAGAATTTCTCGGGGCACCCTTCAGTCAGCCCCTATACAACACAATACAAGGTTCGTGATAAGTGGCATGATCACTTCGTTGCTTGACAGAGAACTTCAATAATCCGTCTGATCCCAGGCCTCTATACTCATGCGGCTACCTTTGAACCCTCTGTCATTTCATGGCCAACAGATTTCCTAATCAACACTCGATGCGACGATCCCAGAGCGCGCTGCCCGTGTAATATTCCAACAGATACCTTTGCCTACACCAGCAATAGCGGCGGATCCAACAACAATGGCCCAATGATCAACTTCTGTCCCAGATTTTTTCTGCAATCCTCTCTAAGTAACGCCAAAGCAGCGATGCATAATAGTCCACCAGAGACCAAGTTCAACCTAGCTTTGTGGAGTAACCAAGGTACGGCTCATGCATATGTTATCAGGCAAGAACTGACATCGAGTGACAAGCTGAGACATTTCTGCACGAGATATTTCATATTCGCCCTGTCGCAAGTTCACCGCCGAATGCCCAAGTCCGTGATCTATGGATCTTCCTTGAGGGCGAGCAGACATGGGAGCCAGCCTACGGTGCTTATTATGCCAAGATATTGTCACGAGTAAGAGACAATGCTGGGATTTGGGTCTTACAAAATGCAGAGAATCTTATGTACTTTGCAATGTCCAGTTACTATGCGTCTCTTGAAGGGTATCCGTCCCGGCCCTTCGCCGTGGACAGACCAGTCGGGAATCCCCAAGCCAGATCTTATTCAACATTCTACTTCGAGAACAACACATTACATATTCAAAATCGGTCGGACTTCAGTGCTTCAGCATATACGATTCCACCAGCATCTTCAACCTGTGGACTGGATACGGATGAAAGTTCAGCAACAATAACGTTTGTGGAAACATCCGCCACATTCGCGGCAGACGCGGACTATCCAGCAACTTACCAATCATCATTGAACTCCTGGAGGTCAACCTGGTCGGCTTATTGGGCGACTGCAGAAGCAGCATCACCCACCACTTCCCCAGGCCTATGACCTGCGTCCTCAACGGCCGCTCCTTCACCAGCGTGTCACAGCCTGCCAACCGGGCTGACGAGCCCTCCTCAAGCCTCAGCATCTGCAGCCGTTGAGGCCTTCTGCCAGGATTCAAGAATTGCCGGTAAAGTGCTCTCGAACGAAACGCCGTATGTTGATCTACCGTACGCAGCAGAGGGAGTCAAGGGTCTGCTCCAGTTGATGGTGAGTTGGGGCGCCCAAAACTGTGGCGGGTGGGCCACGCTCGACACATCAACGTGCAAGTCTATGTTGACCAACGTGCTCGAGACTTGTAAAGGCGCCCCGGGCAACGTCACCACCAACTGCGTTGTATACAGCTACCATATTACGGAGTCCGAAAAACCAGATCCGTCGATACCGGAAGAGTATATTGATCGAGGCGAATTCTCCTGTATTGATACGTGAGTCTCGCTCATTTTATTCTCAACTCCCTCGTTACTTATACATATCACGATAAGCTAACCTAATCCTTTGCAATACATAGTGACACTAGCGATATCGGCGGCGCCAGCTCATCACTAGCTGGAACATGCACGTGTTCGTGGTCAAGTAATCCGTCCAACTTTGAGAGCTACGACAAGCCGAGCGGTGTCGCTAAGTGCTCGGACATCACTGACGTTCCAAATGGCGGTCAGATTGGTCAACCTCAGAAGAGATCCTTAGGGAGACTGTGGGCTGGTTGATTCCTGAAATTCTGTCTGGGCACGGATTGTGGTGTGACGGTGACGACAGAAACGAACGATTTCGGAGAAAGCCCCTGCCCAATATGCAATATGTGTGTGGGAATGTGAAGGAACCAACATGGTATCATGGTGATGGATGAGTATCTGGCATTCCTTTTTCCGTTTTTGAATATTCCGCTTTGCGTTTGAATTCTGTATTGTCGGCGTTGCTTAATAGTTCCTGGACGGGAAATCATAATGCGGGACATATATCAGGGGGGACTAAATAAGCAGAAAGGGAATGAGGGCCGGGCTTCGAGTAGAAACGTGTATTTATCTATTTGACTATGTACCTTAGCTAGAGAATTTTAGCTAGATCTTGGTCATGATGCCAACCTGCGATGATTTGCAGGCAGATCAACCCTTTGCTCTCTCCTTCCATGTGGAGACCCAAGTCACCATCCATCCCAGCAGCAACATACCATCAAACACACGGCCACGCGGCCATAATCCACTTCCCCGGCCTTCACCTTTACCACCTCGATCAAACCTACAGGTATAGACAGATAGGTAGGTAGGAAGGTGAGAGCCAGGAAACCGATCCAGTAGCAAGAAGCCAGGCCATCATGCAACGCAATCTCTCCTGTGACGGCAAGCCAGCAGAGGGGGCCCGTCGGTCTTTGCGCTCGCCTGCCCCCCGGGGTAATAGCTCTCGAACCAGGGCCCCGGCCGCGTAAGTTTGAATCGACCTCGACTGGCCATGACATGGACCGACATCTATCCATCGAGGGGAACTGCACGAACGAACGAACGAACATAGTGTCTCGGGCGCGAGGATGGATGTTGGTCCACCGCCACCACCCGTAGGCCGAGGGGCTACTGACGCTCCGTGTTCAAACAAGCCCAGCCGGAGCAGGACCCCCTTCCGTCGCGGGGGAAAATAACTGAAAGAAGAGCTGAATAAACACGAAGTCGAATCGAATTGAATCGAGTCAGGCTAGCCAACAAAAGACTATGCAACTGGACTAGTAGTTAGTAGTTTGATCGACAACGAGACATGCTGCCAGCCCTCGGTGTTTTTCCTTCGGTGGTTGTGACTTTGTATCGATTTACATTACGGGTAAATTCATGGAATTGGCTTTCGCTCCTAAGATTCTTAGGCTTCTGGGCGTGCTGGGCGCTGTGGCACTCTGGGAGAGCCTAATGGGGAATCCTAGAGGGCTGGGCGCAGGCTGGGCATCATGGCAGGCCACGCTGCTTCCGCTGGAGGTTGGCTCCTGTGGTGCATACATACCTATGGAGCACGACTTTCAAAGGGGACTTGTGGATGGGAGGAGATTATGCATCCGTTATTGCCGTTGGCTGTATATCTATCAGTCTTCTGGGACTTTTTTCCCGACGACGGCGGCGATATGAACTTTATTCCGTTGTCGCGAATCGGGAGGCAGCTGCGTCCCCGTCCGCCTCTCGCTGCCTGCATTGTGGAATTCTGGACTTATGTCTCCCTATTCTTTTCTCTTCGGTTCTCTTTCGTTGAAGGCTGATTTACGAGCGGTTCATCCATAGCTGCAGATGAAGAAGGGATAGCCATAGGTCGATCGAATGGCATTACTTTCTTCTTCCCTCTGCTAAAGTCGTTCCGGGAGGGAGGAATCTGGGACATACCATGGAGGGGTTTGCTCAGAGCTCTACGTGGGTACTAGGGAGAACCGCTCCCCCACAGCTCCTTTTTCGCTATTGCATTATAATTCCCTAGTGGTTAGCGAAATCGGATTTCTGTATGACGTCGTGAGTGCGCCGTGTGCCCGGTGTTGTGGGGTGTATGACTTCTTATATATAGATATAAGAGAGTCCAGGTGTCTTGTCCGGCATAATGAGAGAGATATCAACTTGGATTGCTAGTTACGAATAGGCTGGGCTTATATAATAGACGACATCAGGGACGCGGGAAGCGGTATGGCAGTTAAAGAGTCGAGCGTAGAGGAAGTCACGACCAAGGACCCAGCTTTGTAGATGTGTAAGGACTTTCAGCTTTCAGCGCTCTCGAATTCGTGAAGACATTCGCATGACACATGAATATCACTCGCACCCAACAAAAGTAAAGATCAGGAACAGAACAGCGGTGAAAAGAAGTATAGATTATAAGCTTTAGCGCACTGACCCATACCTGGCCTAACCACCCTCTGATCCAAGAACAAAAAGGAAAGCTCGCCCCTCCCCTCTTAAGGATATATCCTGGCGTCCCAGGCCTACTCCTCAATCGCACTGCCAATGGCGGCGCCGATCCGACTGCTGGAGGCAGTCGAGTTCTCAATGGATCGATCCCTATTAGGGAGTGGTGGGTAAGGCAATCGGTTCCTATTGCATTAGGTTAGTAGTTTCACCCAGCGCACTGGGGGTTTTGCTGCGGCCAGTCCCCGGGTTCGCAGGGGTTCTGGGCTTAGTTCAGATGTCTCCGTCGGCCGACCGTCCAGGTAAATACCTGCCCGCCCCGGGTTCGCAGAGTGCTAGGATTTAAGTATCGGGGCCAGCGTCGAGAGTACTGGGCTGCTCGACTACCGATGGAGCCGCGTGTCACTTTGGCGACCTCGGAAGTGATTTGTCCTAAACTCCGCCTGATAGGGGTCTTGGTGATGTGACTGAGATTCCGCAGACACAATATATCACACCTAATTGTTTTTCTGGGCCCACCTGGTAAATGAATCCTTTTTTCTGTTTGGCTGGTTCGTGAAGTCAACCACTTCACTGGGAGCGGCTCTGCAGCGTGAGTGGCTCGCCATTTGGCCATCACGTGAGTACCGAGGCACGCATTCGAACCCCAGGAAATACTCGGCCAAAAAAGATGCGGTGTTCTGAGAACGTCTGCGTGGTCAATTGCGAGAATACAATCAAGAGTCAAGATGTACTTGGGCCAGCGACGATACTACGAAGTCCTGCCGTGTCCGATGACGCGATGCTGCGTGTGTGGCTGTCGGGGCAGGTTTGCCGGGACTCGGATTGTTTTTCTAGATCTCGGAGGCCACCCCTGGTCACGCCTTTCTTCCCTGCGATTTTTCCGAATCCCCGGCTGGTGACCTTCGTGACGACTGGCTGCTGTCCAAGAAATTCCAGAGTCAAATCTCGTTTCTCCAACCCCAGATGCTTGCGATGCAACTCTATCTCACGAAACAATAACAACACAACTCACGCTGAACAAGTCGCGTCGTGCATGTTGTGGTCATCTTTCCTTCCAGCCGATATCTGTACCATTGAAAGACCATCCTGCCGCGTGAATCTGGCACTGCGAACTACCGACCGATGAGAGACGATCGCGTCAGACGATCACATTAGTCCACCCATCTCCAACTCAGGTAATCAATGACATGTGCGCAGTCTGAGTGATCAAGCCGACATCCAACTCACACCACACCGCGCACAAAGGATGGACAGCACGATCTGAGTTGCTCTCTCCGTTCTCCAGCTCCGTTACCCTCGGACACCGTCGACATGGCGTTTAACTTTAACTGGTCGCCGCTATCGACCGATGCCAGCTTCCTGCCTCGCGCCCAAGAGCTCCTCACGAATACCCTGAACCGTGCGGACCCAAAGCCTACCATTATTGTCGACGACATTATTATCAACGAGCTGAACCTCGGCGATGTACCCCCGGAGCTCGAAATATTAGAGATTAGCGATCTTACGGAAGATAGATTCTAGGGCACGTTCAAGATAATGTATAATGGCAATAGATCCTTCTAGACTCTTCCTTATAGACTAGCCTTATTTTCTTACACTTGTTAGGTCCAGTTCTAACAAAACTTAACAGTCTAGAGGAGAGACGACTTTTAGGCTACCGCCCTAATATAGTTAGCAAGGTAAACTGGCCCGGCCAGGCCTGAGCCGACGTTGAGCCAGGCGCGAGCCAGCCTGAGCAAAAGCGGCGCGAGGTCACGTGGGCCAAGAGGGAGGCGAGCGTCGAGATTCCGGTCGTGAAACAGCTTTTTCCCCTTTACCATTGCCTCGCTTGCTACATCTTTACGGATTCTCGTATTAGTGATCTTACCGCAGTCTGGCTTGAAGTTGATTCTTCAAGTGTTCAGCATCCTATCCTCGGTAGCTGAAGCGCGCCTGCTTGATGAGACACGAGGTGAGAGTCGAAAGGGCAGGTTTAATGATTGAGGGTTGAGTCGTGATTGATCAACGAATGTTATCAAGTCGTCCTGTTGCCATTGCGAATCGTATCGTCGCCCGAACTGCTTTCAGATTTGGAGTCCAAGACTTGTCCAAAGAATCATATATATATTTGCCGTGTCTACCTATCTAGACTATACCCTAGTTTTCGGCCTCGTGCCTCAACGACTCTTGGGGTGGACGAGGCCCCTTACGCCTAGGTGACTCTCTGTTTACTCCTTAAGCATACATCGTCAGGCCTCCCCAGCTAGGACGACACCACTACCGCCGGTTAGGGTCAGGGCCTAAGTGCGAGTCAGGTAGCAAGTCGCATACGGGGTACAGCTCCTTACTAGGACGACACCACTTCTCCCAACTTTCTTCAGTAGGCCTTAGTGCGAGTAAGGTAGCTGGCCCCTGTCTTTTTGTACACCGACATGCGCCTCTGTCCTCTCGAGCCACGCAGACAGTCTTGTAGGCTCGGGCCTGCCATGGCTGCCATTACGTGCTACGCCCCGCGAGCCCAACGACTCGTTTCGCGTTGCCTAGTGCGGTCTCCCACATCTAGGCCGACCATGTCTCGCAAGGGCACCCGTGAGATGCTCCTCGCCAGCAAGTCATCCCCGTTTGCGATCCCTTACTAACCAAGCTTATGTCCCCTCTTCAGTTGTACTTCCTCCCGGTGACTTGTTCCTTTCAGTATACTATCCTCCTTCTTTCCCTTCCCGCGGTGACTTGTTCTCGGAGTTTAACAGGGCCGGCAAGTCGGGGTCTAGAAGGTCGAGAGGTGACTTATTCTCGCAGTTTAACAGGGCCTCTCGCAGGCTACCCACCACGGCGCGACAGTAGCTTGTTCTCGAAGTTTAACAGGGCTGCACGTACCGTAGCAGACTTCCTAAGATGGCACACATCAGAATTAACAGGGCCGTTCAAACGTACCTTTCAAGGTTCCTGCCACCCTCGCGACGCGCCGTGACGCGCCGACTCAGAGCGCATGTAAGCTGAGGGTGTCCTGTCGCGTCAGTAGGCGACACCGCATCCACAAGCTTCGATAGGACTTACTTCGGTTCCAGGTCCGAGCTGGATACTGACGCGTCGGATGGTTTTTAAATCGATTCCCTCTTTTTTGGGTATTTTGACGCGTCGCAGTCGCGCCCTCTCCTTTCGTTGTTTTGGACTCATCTTAGTTCACGCCTTTTCAGCGCTTAACACCGGACACCGCGAGAAGGTGTGAGTCCATCGTCCCGTAGGCCTCCCGTAGGCGTACGCTCTGCGTGCTCGCAGAGGGCCTGTACAGTATAGTGATTCCCGAAACCGCCCTCCCCTTACGGACACATCGCAACTTTCTTCCACTAAAGGCTAAGGATATAAATGGGTCACGCTTTACCTAATATGTGATAGCGTATTCAAAAATCTCCTCCAATTATTAAAGAGATAGTTCAACTGTTACATTTCTAATACGGTATGGCCCGTTATAAAGACTCTAATAATAAATGTTAAGTACCGCTCCGGCAGGAACCGATCCTTGGTTTTCGACACGGTGGGGTAGTGCACTAAGCATTTAAGTACTAGATGAGGGAGCCTCGTGTCGAGCGTTCTTAACGTGCGATAAGGTAACTAAGTTAACTACGGAAGCAGAAGAGACTACGCAATGTTATGAGAAGAACTAATCTAAGAATAATAGTATATCTTTACTATTCGTAAGTTATATATATCTAAATAACGAGTAAAGAGTATTAATAAATAGTATATTTACTTTTTCTATAATATAAATATTTTATTATAGTTATTAATTCTTAATTTTTTCTTTTCTCGAACTATTTAATTCGTTTTCTTTATAAGCGCTTTTCGTTTACTATTTATATACGCTTTATTTATATTAATACGTTATATTATAATTATCTCGCGTTAATAGTTTCTAAGTTTTTAATTTACTTTATTTAAACTCTTTATTAGTAAATCTTATACGTTAAGTATACTTATCGTAAACTAATCGCTTTTAATATCTTTTACTATCGTTACTCTCACTACTCTCTTTACTCTCGGTTTTAGCGCTATTATTAATAACTTCGGTGATAAACGTCGCTCTCTTAATAAAGATAAATATTATATATATCTTCGCTATTATATTATATATAGTATATTAATCGTCTACTAACTTATCGCTTTCTATCGTCGCCTCGCTTAGTTAAAAAAACTAAGAAGAATTTACGTAAGAAGGCGCTAAGTCTACTCTATCGTCGTTATTTTCGCCGTTTTAATAACGATATCGGCGTTAATAAATTAGCTTCGGATTAGTCTCTCGTTTACGTTACGTCTACGAGTAGTACGCGCTACTTCCGCTACACTATTAATAATCGTAGTAATATTACGAGTTATATTTCTATAAGTTCGCTATCTTATCGCTATTAATATACTAATACTATATAAGGTCTTTACTTCTTATATACGCCGTATCTAGAAGTTACTCGTCGTTAATAATACTTATAATCGCGACGACCCCGGCGTCTTAGTCTTCGTAGAGATCCGAGATATCGTCGATATTTTATCGCGTAAAATATAGACGACCGCCGTCCGCGTCGCTTATCTTATTCTTAGTCTCTTTACTATTAGCGATATACGCGTAGCTAACGCTACTTTAAATAACTCTAGAGTAGTAAATATATCGTCTACGATCTAAATAAATCTACTTCTTAAGACGATTCGTATTAACGTTAATATACTTCGTTAATATATAAGTATACTTCTCTTTTACGTATCGTATATTAATAGCGATAATAAAACTTTAAGCTCTATAAGTAAGACGATAAGATCTTTAGTATTTTATTCTTAGAGAAAAACGACGACGATAAGAAGAAAAAAAGCGTTAATTAGTCGGCGTATATTATTAAGTAATTAAATAAGATATAAATTAATATTATTCTTGTGGAATATCGCCCTCTAAAGGTTTATATTAAACCTTTAGTCACGTGATTAAATACGAAGTTTAAGTTCGTATTTAGACCTAGGGTCTATGAAATCACGTGACTAGTGCGATATTAATTCCGCACTCTATTAAATGATTAGTCGTGCTTACTAATGTTGATTTGAAATCAACATTTTAAGGGTCTTAACTGTGGACACTTATTGTCTATATAAAGACCTTTACCCTCCCTAGGTAGATAGTTATCTTCAAGTTCTTTAATAGTCACTTACCTACCTATAAGGTTTACGATCTATATGAGCCTTACTATCTATACATTAGATAGTTCTCTAAGTCTTTTGAACAATTCCTAAAGCTAATATAGCGGAAGGAGAAGTGGTGATAGCTAAAGATAGTATAGACGGAAGAAAAGCCGTGGTGATGGTAATTACGTCTATAAAACTATACGTCCGCACTAAGTACTGAATAAGAGCACCATATGAGGACCTATACTGCTCTCGACGTATATAAGAATATAATTATACGGTCTACACACTAGACCTTACATCCTTAAAGATGAAAATAACCTTCACAATTATATTCTATAGGAGTAGAAAATACCCTTAGGTAAACTAAGACCCCGACTTTATACACACTTATTAAGGAGAGAATCTATATAACTAGTCTCTTTATATAATAATGGTGAACGATAACACTTCAGCAGAGTGTAATATAGCTAACTCTTAATATAACTTAGACCCCGACTATACTGAGAGAGACGAGATATAGATTTAGAAGAAACTAGAGAAACTAATATAAGATGAGATTAAATAACTCATCCGAGAAGTAACCGAAAGAGTTACGGCCACGGTCGCTCGGACGTAAGAAGTGATAGAAGAGATTCGAAGAGCGGAAAACGAAACCGAAACACTCTTATAGATACTCACCAACGATGACATTATAGAAATCGCTAGAATCGCACGAATTCCGGAGGAAGAGATTCGTAAACGACTTAACCGAATAAGGATTCTAGATAGGGCTAAGATAGAAGTTTAAGCCGCCATACGAGCTTATAAAGAAAGGGGCGTATTACTCCCTCGATATATTAAGACACTACTTAGTGTTCTCATTTAAGAACTATTTCTCTATAACCGTATCTATAACTGCCCTCTTAGAAACGTTCCATATATACACTAATAACACCTCGACTTCCTTTAACTAGAAAAACTAGGAATGTCTACTGTGGAAGTCTAACGAGCTCTAGAGAAATTAGTAAAGCGATGCACCAGCTATAACTACGAGGTATTAGAACCTTAGAATAGTAGAATAAACTATCTTCACTAGCTAAAAAACTAGAAAGGTGAAAGAACTAGGGGCGCCTAAATTACCGAAAGTACGCCTCTAAGAGACGCTAACGCTAGAAAGCTAGTAGAGAAGGCGCACGACTAATTAAAACTAAAGAAGAAAGAAGGAACTAATAGCTTAAGTTAAATATAGCTATGAGATCTAACGCTAGGCCCATATTTCTCGGGGATATACTAGAAGACTAAGAAGTTAGTATTCTAATCGACTCTAGATATACTAAAAATCTAGTATACACTAAGATAGTAGAAAAGCTACCGTAATGGAAAGCTAAAAGACCGAG